CAAACGCCGGGTGGCCACAGGGCAGGTTGCTTGCTGTGGACATCACCCACTACTGCCCCTTCTTGCTAGTCAGGTGAGGGGCTGCCAAGAACCTGCCAGTTCTGATATGTGTCTCTGAGTGCACTGTAGGACTGGGATGATGTAAACTGGATTTGTCTTTGCACGGCCCAAAGGACCTCAGCTGACTTCATAAACATAGACTTTGTTTTGGTCTAAGACCAAGAGTATTTTGGGTCTGGATGCTTGAAACTGAGCTCAACCTTTAAGGGCTTTTGATGCTATTACCTTGAGTAATCATCTTGGCTTTACTGAGAGCATATGAGACTTTGGCTAGAGCTACTGTATACTGTACTCTAAGAAGTAGCTAGGCAAATGCCTTTAATCCCAACACTTGGGATGAAGAGGTAGGTTGATCTTTGTGAGTTCAAGGCCAGCCTGGCCTAGAGGGAGTTGAAGAGTAGCCAGGACCATACAGAGAGATTTTTGTCTTGAAAAACCAAGAAAAAGAAAGGAAGAAAGGAAGAAAGGAAGAAAGGAAGGAAGGAAGGAAGGAAGGAAGGAAGGAAGGAAGGAAGGAAGGAAGGAAGAACTAGTGCTTTTGGAATGTCTGTGACATGGTGAAAACACAGCTGAATAGGGCATTTAAACAAAATCATCGATCCTCAGATTTGTCAGTGTCCTGACTCCTGAAACCTGTGAATATACTGCACTACAAGACAATAGAGGTAGCAGATGGAATTAAATCTGCCAGTTGTCACAGGCTGAGGATCCCGTCCTCTGTTCCTGTCTTGATGCTCTAAGTTGATATTCAGAAGGAAACTGAACTTTGATCTTTAAAAAGGGTCATTAACTTATAGTGAATTCAGATTCATTTAGGATTCATCCAACAGGACTACTGACCTTACATTAAAAAGAACAAGACTAAGTCATAGAGGAAACACATGGGAAGAAGATGGCTCTCAGCAATCAAGAAATGAAGTTCCAGAAGAAACGAACTCTGCCAACAACTTGCTTTCAGAATCCTAAGAAAATAAATTACTGATGTTTAAAGCTACCAAATCTCTAAGTGTTTCCTTCCATTCCTTCTTCCTTCCCTCTCTCCCTCTGCTCCTCCCTCTCTTCTTGTCTTCCTTCCTCCGACTGTCCTCTCTTACTCTGTCATCCTTGACAGTGACTCATTGGATAGCCCTGCCGGGGTTGGAATTAACAATGTAGATGTAGAGCAGGTTGGCCTTGAACTCACAGAGATTGTGCCTCTTTGAGTGCTGGGTTTAGAGGCATTTAAACTGCACTGCCACACCCAGGTAGCTCTCTTTGAGTTCCAGGCCAGCCAGGGATACATAAAGAAACTAAAGAAATCAAGAAAGCCTTGTCCACAGAGAGTATAATACCACAAAATTTGTGGACTTGTTTTCAATCACACTTTCCCAAAGGTGTCTCATGTCTCCTGACTCACTTCCTCACTCCCCTTCCTTCCTTCCTAACTCTAAAAATGCTGACATAGTTTTCTCATTTGTGTCTCTTAAGAACAGGTTATTTTTGACCTATCTTTAGCCCACTCTTAGGAAAGGCGTGTGCAACACTCCTGTGTCCCGAACTGGCCCCAGGCCCAGATATAAACAGCTGGGAGCTTCTCACTCTGATTGTGCTTGCTTTAGTCTGTCTTAAATGCAATCCACCTTGCAGTTTATAGTCACCTGGCTAAAACCTCCTGTAGCTGGTGTGCTTGGCTTTCTTTTCCACTCGATAGCCTTTCTATCAGTCCAACCTGGCATGACGGCGATGGTGGAGGCTGTTGCTTGTTTGTTAACTGAAAGAACAAAATGAGATCATTAAAGAGCATGGTCAAAGGGCATTTACAAGGCCTAGTTGTGCTGGGAACAGTGAACTCTCAGAACTGGCCACGTCACTCCCTCTTCTGAACCAGGGCTCACGCTCACAACGTATGCCTTTCAGCCGGTGAGCTTTCCCCGAAGTTTGGGTTGGCTGCTTGCCCGGCCAGCAAGGTTGGCAAAATATGCTATAAAACACAGGTGGTTAGGAGACCTGTGTTAGTTTCCGAAGGCTGTCAGGACAAAATACCACAAGATGTGTGTCTTCAGACTACAGAAATTTGTTCTTTCACATTTCTGGTGGATTCAAAGTCCCAAACCAAGGAACTGGTGGGGCTGTGTTTCTCAGAGGTGGGGAGAGTCCTTTCCTATTCCTTGCTAGGCAAGGGAGCCTTGCAAGGTGGTGGGTGTAGATTCTTCATGCTCTTTGGCCAACAGCTCCATCACTCTAATCTCTACTTTTATAGTATGAAATAGTTACAGAGTGTTTCTGTGTCTTTGGTCTTGTTTTCAGTCTCTGGTCCTGGCTCTCAGGGACTCGATGTGTAGATTAGGCCTGCTTCTGCCAGAAGAATGCTGGGATCAAAAGCATGAACCATCATGCATAACCCATGTTTCTGTATACAAACTCTAGTTATGTCATATTAAGGGTCTTCCCTACTGTAGTATGGCTTCATCTTAACTGATTGTATTTTCAATTTCCAAATAATGGACTAATCTATGACACTAAGGTTAGAACTCTTGTGCTCATAGTTCAACCTTGCCAGCTACTTTAAATGGTGGTGGTGGAGAGAGAGGGGACAAATGAGACAAATTACTTACGTCACTGTGAGAACTAATTGAGAATTATTTTAAATGTAAATTAAAATAACTTAAACACGTTTACAATCTATTTTTTTTTTTTTTTACAGTATGACGTATTCAGTGGGTTGAAAGATGTCCACATCCTGGGGCCTATTGATAATATTTCTTTTTATGACAGAAAGTTCAGAAATGTGATTGAGAATTGGAGGTAGAGAGATAGAATAGATTCTCTGAGTGGTCCCTAACTGTTCAATGCAATTGAAAGTGCTTTTTCATGTTCGTTTGTTAGAGGCAATATCTCATCATATATCCCAGATGAACTCTACATCCTTCTGTTTCCACTATCCAAGTGCTGGGTTAGGTTTATAAACACGTGCCTCCTTGATCTTCTTCTTCTTTTTAAAGTTTTTTGAGACAGTGTTTCTCTGTATAGCCTTGGACTCCCTCTGTAGACCTGGCTGGCTTTGAATTTACAGATCCCACTGCCTCCATCTCCCTGAGTGCTGGGATTACAGGCGTGCACCACCATGCCCGGATTACCTTGACCTTCTAAAATGGGAGACTGGGAGGTGATAGGCAGCAAAAAGTTGAGAAGCAGAGGTAGGGAGAAACGAGATGCTCACTGGTCTCAGAGATGGAGAAGCCCCATGGGCCCTAGGAAAGGCAAATAATGCTGCTTTCTTGGGCTTCTCTAACATGGTCTGTGTGCTGCAAATATGAACTTGTGTAGACAGACCTTCCTGGACCCCTTTTTTGGTATTATTGATCTTGGGCATCTTTTAGACACCTATACCACACATCCATGTGCAACCGATGATGAGGCCCCACATATAACCCCTACATGCAATCAGTTGTTAAGGCCCACTGTATTCATACACTATGTGTTCTGTTCATCCTGTGTCTTGTCTCATGCAATCTTGCTTGAATATTCTGGTAGTTTAGTCCTGACCCATCCTCCATGCATCAAACCGATTGTCAGCCTGGTTCATGCTGTTGCCACACAGTATGTGAGACTAAGGATAAAAACTCCTCCTAGTTGTCACCATGGCTGAGAAGTCCAGGATCAAGGTTCCTACAAGTTAGGGCCTTGCCTCTCTGTTTCCAAGATGGCTCCCCGAGTGCTATATATTCCAGAGCTATGGCTTCACATGGCAGAAGATGAGAGGAAATTTACCGCTACGAACCTGTTTCTTTTCCCTTTCTTTTTTCTTTTTGACATGTCCCCTTATGTTGATTAGGGTGGTCTGGAAGCCTTGGTCCACCTGCTCCTTTCCTGGTGCTGGGAATATAAGGGTTTCAAGCCCTTTTTATGGAGACCTTGATGTATGCATTAGTCTGTAGGACTTGAGTATGTTACAACTGGTGATTCAGTTTCTAACTTGTGAATCTGGGATACATTTAGGCAACAGAATGGAGACCCAACTACGCTGGAATTTAGATATACTGCTTCTGGCCTTAAAAGCCCTCAGGTGGTGTAACTCCTCTGCAGGGCAACTAATACCCTCCACAACACAGCCCCCTTCTGTCACCCAGACTCTTCCTCCAGTAGTCCCTAAGTTTAGGTTGCCTTCTTTGACCAACTCCTTGGTTTCCCCAGCAATTCTGGGTCTCCTGTCTCCCCTCATTCTGTATGGCTGGGACATCTCTTGTCATCTACCCATTGGACTGAAGTACTTAGGAGTAATTTCTGAGAGCCTTTCCAGTCTTTATTGTTCCTGCAGTGTCCCAGGAGCAAGCTACTGCCTTAGCAGGTTACATGAAAGCTAACACAAGTTGGCCTTTTCACTAGCTTTTAGGCTTTTTTGTGGTTTGTTATCTCGTTAAGGCCTTGACCACTCTTGTCCTAGAATAGGGTTGTCACAAATGCAGACCTGTTCTGTTTTCCCTACTATATTCAAGAATTTATCAAGTTAGATCTACAAAGTGGGCTGGCTAGTTGTTTATTATCTTCTGTTAGCCAACTCTTTTTGGATTCGTGATGGCATTGCAGTGGGGTCCATCTTGAAGCAAAACCCAAGATGAACCCGGCAAGAACCTGTCCCAATTAGGTATACACGTGAGACAGTCTGTGTGTCAACTTTCAGGCGTTGTGTGCTAACCACTTTACTTGGCTCTCTCTTGACCCAGGCCCAAGGAGCAGCTTCCTTCCCAAGGTCGAGGGACCTGCTCTTCTTCATGGCCCCGGGGTATCCACCACAGTGGCTGCTAAAACCGGACAGCACGGCTAGAGTCACGTGTCCTGGTCCCTCTGCAGCTCCCAGACCCGGGCTCTTCCCGGTACAGGGCAGAGGCCTTCGGATCACGCGCGCCCGGGAGGCCCTGGTCGGCCCAGCCAATGGGCTGGCGGCGCCCGCATGACCCGCGCTGGGAGGGCGTGGGGAGGCAGGCCAGGCGCGCACGCCGCTGGTCCGAATCGCCACCCCCACTTCTGCCGGGACGGGAAGTGAGTCGCCGGGGTCCCCAGTACAAGCCTGCCGGAGAGCACGTCCCACAGCCCCCCAAACCCCGGCGGAAGAATGGCTGCCGCCAAGGTAAGCGCGGCGGGCAGGGGCGATCTGGTGCCCAGAGGGGTGCAGTAGGGGGTGGGAGTGGATGTGGGGCTCCACCTTGCAGCGGCGGGAGGCCACAGGGGACCGCACTCGTGGCCGCGTGGGTACCGCGGCCCGATCGTGCTGCAGAAACTTTGCCAGCCGGGACACTCCCACTTGGCCCGGCCAGGAGCGGTGTCCCGCGGGACAGCCCGCGCCAACAAGGAGGAGCGCGCGGATGGGGCCAGGTAGCCTGGGGCAGGGACGAGTCCAGGGTCACACAAACCCTTCTGCCTCTTCGGGGTGCTCTTCCTTCTGACCTGGCTGTTGTTGACCTGGGTTTCTCCTTCCAGGGCCCCAACTGGGGCTGAAGCTTGATCCTATTACGTTTCGAGGGTTCCGCCCTCCCGCGGGTAGGGAAGTCACCTTGACTTCCGTTTTGGAAACTGCTTGGGAGACTTGGCCTGCGCGTGTGCGTAGCTATCCCGGGACCCTTCCCTTCCCCCATCTCCCATCTCCCATCCTTCCCTTCCCTCTCTCCATCTGACAACACTTACAAGTCAGCCTCCGAGCCTTGGAGAGGCTTCTTTTTGGAAATGACAAAACAGATTGTCCTAGGAGCTTGTCACTCCTGTGAAGTTCTACTTAAAAGGAATTCTGTGTAATGTGAATCGTTCACGAACCCAGAAAGAAGGCAGCTCTCAGAGACTGACCTTTCCTCTTTCACCGGTTCCTCAAACCTGCACAACATTTCAGCCTCTCTGGACTGCATTTCAACTTTTCTGGCAGAATACCATATTCAGTCCCAATCACTCGAATCATTGGAATTTATTGCTTTTAATTCTAAGTTCACGAAGGCAGCCCTTTAATCAAGCCTATACAACTTCTTAGATCATTTTAAGTGCAGTGAACTTAAATATACCCAACATTTCAAACATTTGTCCTTAATCAAAACTCTGTGATAACCCTCGAGAGGAAAACATGGCCAACACATCATATTCTTATTTATTCAAGCAAACTAATCACATTTGCAATGGAAATTGTAAGCAGACAAATATATTTAAATGCTGTTCTGAGACTAGAGTCTCTGCTGGCTCCCCAAAATCCGCAGGTTTCTTGTTCCTAGACCGAGTGCCTTAAGTGGCCTTTCTCTGTAACTACTTAGAGTGTAATCCTCGGTCATGGTACTGCATGTAGTTATACCTGTGTTTGTGAATGAGCTCTTTTATTTTGGAAGCTACACTAGCTCTTTCAAGCCACTAGCCCTTTTCTTTGCCTTAACTTTTCACACGGTATTAGAATCCTGACATTGCCGTGAGTCGTTCTCTGCGGTAAATGCCCACTCTTCATTTATAGATCTACTGAGGAGTTAAGTAGTATTACTTGATTTGAAGATAAAATAACGGTGGGCACTAAATTGAGGCATATGCCTAGAAATGGAACGGAGGACTTGGTAAACATGAAGTAATAAGCAATGAAGCAGCCTCAACTTTTTAGTTGCATTTTTCTTAAGTCACATCCTATCAGGGACAGTTGGTTTTTATCCAAATTACAAGAGACAGGGAAAGCGAAATATTCCTTGCACCTTTACTGTTTGGAAACCCGTGTTCTTATTTATTTCCTGAAAGTCACCTCTTTTCAATTCTGATGGTTGACGTATATAGACATGCTATTCCCATCCAATAGGCCATCACAAAACCTATTGTGAACGGATGGGAAAGCCAGGATAAAAAGAAATTAAGGTGAAGCTGGGCTGTGTGTTGCATACCTTTAGTCTCAGTACGTGGGAGGCACATGCCAGCCTGGTCTACAGAGTCAGTTCTGGGACAGTAGGGCTGTTAAACCGAGAAACCTTGTCTTGAAAAACAACAACAGCAGAAAAAAAAAAGAGAAAGTAAGATGAACTTAGGTTAATGGAAATCAAGTTATGACAGGTAGCTGCATTTTCTAGGTGCTAAGGCAGAGACATGGATTTACTGCTTGGAGGAAGTTCATTTTCCACCTTTCTCTGGGCAGTTTGTCTCCAGTCTTTTTTCTTTTACTATGGAGCCTTGGCTGATCTGTGGTTTGCTGTGTGCATTTAGGGTGGCCTTGAATTCATGGAGATGTTTATGATGTATCTGAACTGCATTCAAAAACTACTGAGGACCACAAACACACATCTGTGGATTCCATCAGGCCATTTCTTGTATGTCTCTTATTGTAGATCAGGGACCAGGGACATTATAGTTGTAGTCTTGAGAAGTCCCAGATGAAGCTGTTGTGGGTCCAGATTCATCCAAGAATGACTGTCAACCCTTTGAGTTGCATTTGGGCATTGTGCTTCTTGATAGTTTCTTTCAGAATCTGGTTAGTTCTGGGCAATCCTGAGTTAAAGGCTGTGCTCCTTGCTTTTTCCTTGGAGTGTAATAAGCCATTTTGGCAGTTAGCTGAAAGTAGACGGGAAAAATCTCACCTACGGATACAATTGACATTTCCTGTAAAGAACTGAGGAGCCGTGAAAGAGAAAATCCCATTCCCAATGGAATATTACAAAATTGGCTCTGTGATCTTGGGAACTCAACAGTTGAGAGAGGATTCCAGGCTTATTACTAGTTTTGTTATAGTGAACCATTGGAATGTTTAAGTAGATTGACTGGAAAGGTGTGTAGCCACAGCCTAATCTCAGCCTGATTTCTGGATCTTTGTAGTTATTCAAATGTAATCATTTGTTTATTTTGTATCTCTATCTTTTGACTTTTCCCATCAAATCACTACTCAACAGTGAAAGAGTTGTTTTTTCATGAAATAATGATCTGAAACTAATTGTTTTTAAGGTTAGATCAGCAGCTTCTTTGGCTGTGGTTAAGTTTATGCCTTAAGTATGATAGAACCAAACTACTTGAAGCAGAAAAGTTAGAGAATGCCCACTTAAGTTCAGCCATAAGACTTGAGAGATTTTCAGTGTGAACCCAGACATTTACTACATTGCTGGGCTTAAATCAGCCTAGAATTAAAAAGAATTTGATGATAAAATGAAAGCATCAATTAAAAAAGAGAACTCTGGAGGACTAGTGTTTATGTCACTGATGTTTCCCCTGTCTTTGGGTGTGTTTGCTGTGACCATTGATTCGTCTGGGATTACATACTCTGATCTGTCCAGTATTGCAAATGAGGCTAGCCCCAGTGCAAATACCAACTGGCCCTTGGCCTCCAAAAAAATTACCCCCCCCCCCAAAAAAAAAAAAACTAACTAGAGACCCCAGAGAAGGAACCCCTTTCTGCTGATCTCAGGGAAGCCATCCCAGAAATGTGGCTATATCCCAGAAGGAATAAACAGCAAAAGGAAGGATTCACCCCAGTGTCAGGAACAGCAAATCCAGAAGCTGGATGGAAACACATGCTACATCCTGGAAGTAGCATGCACTTAAAATATAATGGCTAACCCAAAGGTTAATAGATACCAAATCCCATCCCAAATGCTTTTCAGTTTTAACTCAGTTAATGAGTCTGTCTTCTAACTTAGATATTAGTACTGCCATCCCTGCAATAAAGAAGACCCAGAAACTCCAAACTGTGGTGGGAGGAGACCTAAGGCCTACTAGGAAGTGCTAAATGTGTCATTCCAGTGCTGCCATGCTGCTTCCAGAGTGTCATCTTGCCCTGTCTGCCATACTGACTATGGTCTAGCATGTGGCAAGTCAGCCTTCTGGGGAAAGTGGGACCAATGACATGGGAGAAGTTAGGCTCCTCCCTGGAAATCAGACTTTTATTAAGGATTGTTTACAGTTTGTGCTTCCTCTGTGCTGGGCACCTTCCCTAGTGCTTTACAAGTCGTAGCTTAATTGTCCCAACACGAAGAAAAAAAATTAGGTTTGGGAATTCTTTAGTTCTATCTATCTATCTATCTATCTATCTATCTATCTATCTATCTATCT